CTTGAGGGTAACTTATTTACAAAGCAGACATTCTATACAAACACGATGAATTTAAAATTAAAACTTTATCAATAGAAACATTGTATGTTTTTAAAGTTTGAAATAAAAATAAATAATACAGAGAAATGTTTATTAAGATAATTTTCCATATTTTTAATCACACTAAATAATACCGCTAACGTTCTCAACGGTGTTCTTTAGAAATATTGTAAAACTTAGCGGTTTCGTCTATTGATGAAACTTGACTAATGCATGGAATAATAATGCAACACAAAATGTACTTAGAACAAAATGTATTGAAACAAGAATGTGTACACAATATTTACATATAGTCTTTTGTATATTATTGGGAAGACCGTTCCTGGAGAATGTGTTGACTTAGTCGCAGTCGGGCAGAGTCTCTGGATTAAATCTCTTGAAAACTCCCCTCGTCTTCCCGGTACCAACCATATTTATATGGTCGGTACTCCACTATGCAAATTAGGTGGATCCTACCACAACATCTATTCACCCGCATTATCACGCTGGCAGAAAGCAGGTTAAGTATGGAGGCCCCGCGGACGTGCACCCGGGCCAGGTCGCCAAATTGCCCAGCCCCCATAACCGTGGGGTGCGCCGGCGTCGTTATTACTACCTCACCCATCTGAATAGTGCAGTGAGAGGTACTACCGTGGTTAGCTGTTTCACGGGACCGGGCATCTCTCAATAATTAAATTAGACTATAACAACGTAGAAGAAATCTGACGCCTAATCTTACCTCTGCTGAAGAAATTCCGATGTCGATTTGACCACGCCGAATTGACCACGCCGAATTGGCCACGCCCAATCATCGACGACAAATGGGCTAAGCCGGAACGCTCCATTTCCGAATATAACGAACCAAACTGGAATTGAACCTCGGCACTCCGATTAACAATTCAGAGCCACTAAACATTACATGAAGTTTATAGCAATTGGTATTCACAAGCAGTCACCCATCAAGGTACTGACCAAGCTCAATGTTGCGTGACGTCGGTGATCGTACGACTGTAACTGGTGTTTCAACGTGATGGGGGCCGTAAGTCTTCAAGGCTAAAGAAAGATCAGCTCAAGCATCAAGAGAAATGTAGCAGAAAAATCAAGAGATGAGATAAAAGAAAGAAAGAAAAAAGAAAGAAAGAAAGAAAAAAGAAAGAAAGAAAGAAAAAAGAAAGAAATGTAGAATAATGATGAATACATGAAAGAAAAGATAAAAAAGAATAGTAAAAAGATTAACTAAATCCGAAGAAAGAAAGAAAGAAAGAAAGAAAGAAAGAAAAGTACCAGGAAATAAATATATGAAAGAAAAATAGAAAAATTATAGGCAAAAGAATAACTAAAATTAAATCGAAATAAAGATAGAATAAAAGAAAAAGAAAGAAAGAAAAGAAAAAGTGGAATAATAATTAATACATGAAAGAAAAAATAGAAAAAAGAATAGGAAAAAGATTAACTAAATCCAATGAAAGAAAGAAAGAAAGAAAGAAAGCAAGCAAGGATAGTAGCAGAAAAGAATATATGAAAGACAGATAGAAAAATTATATGTAAAAGAATAAGTAATTCGAAAGAAAGAAAGACAAAAAAAGAAAGTAAAGTAGCAGAAAATCAATACATGAAATAAAAGATGGAAAAAGAAAGGAAACAGAGTAACTAAATCCAAAGAAAGAAAGAAAAAAAGAAAGAAAGAGAGAAAGAAAATTAGCACAACATGAAAGAAAAAATGGAAAAAAAAGGAAACAATGACTAATGGCGTCTAAGTGATAAAACTAATGAAAAAATATATCAAAAGACAGATAGAAAAGAAAGCAATCAAAAAAATAGAAACAAAAAAAAAATGAAAGATGGAAAAAGCAAAAACAGTTGAAAAGACTATGTTTCAAAAAATTAAAAGAAATTAAAACAAAATTTCAAAAATGAAAAACGATCCAAGAAGGCGTTTGCCATAAAAAATTTCTTGAACATTTCATTCTGTGAAATGATGTTTACTGACAGAGATATTACAGCAAGAACGCATTTGAAGCATCTAAGTAGAGACAACTATAATCAGGTTGTAATGTTAGATGTCTCTGGTAAATATGCCGCCATATTTACGACTTCAAATATTACTTCAATTCGAAAGAATGTTACATTTGCAAAAAACATAAGTCGAACATCACAAGTGCAAGCCAGTGCACCTAAAGCGATAGAAATTTGTCTCACTGTTCGGAATGAAAACGTTGGTAGGTCATATGACAGAAGAAACTGATGAAAAATTTTTTTTTTAAATCTTACAGGAACACGTTAATGCAAATTCATCTCTCAAACTTTTTTACGGTGGTGTACGACATGTTCAAAAAAAATATAAAACCTCGCTTCATATATAGTAAAAGATCGAAGACTTAAAAAGTTATAATGTTCAAGACAACAGGAAAGTTTTTCACCGCCATCCGTACATTTGCATACCTTATTCATTTCCCCATTCATCTGTTTGTTTTTACGTTTATCTCCAGGTTTCTTACTTATCTTCTAAGTTCCTTTTTCTTCTCTGTACATAACAAATTTCCCTTTCATTGGCTATTCTTGTCGATTCTCTATAGCTTTCTTTCTTACTGTCACCTTTTCTTCTTTTCGTGTCCATATATTATGTCCTTTCCTTTCATTCATTTTTCATTTTGTTTTTCCTGCAGTGTTCATAACTTTTGGTTTTATAACCCCCACCCACCGGACAACTTATTTCTTCATGTTTCTTCTCTTTTACATTTCTTAATTCCGATCTCAAACGAATAGAGAGAAACTTTAAGGTCTTACTTTGTGAACGCATTTCACGGCGTGCAAGAGCATGCAGGAGAGTGTGCACAGATTCTACGTAGAAATGTCTATTAAGGCATGAATAAGCCAAACATGTTATTTTAGGACACATCGAGAAAGGAACAGAGAACGAAAGAGATAAAGAAAGAAAGAAACAAACAAACAAACAAAAGTAGCTGAAAAAATGAATATATGAAAGAAAATATAGAAAATAGAAGAGGAAAAAATTGACCAAATACAAAGAAATAAAGAGAAAGAAAGAAAGAAAGAAAGAAAGAAAGAAAGAAAGAAAAAAAAAGAAAGAAAGAAAGAAAGAAAGAAAAGTAGCAGAAATGAATATATGAAAGAAAGTTAGAAAGTTTACAGGTAAAAGAATAAATAAATACAAAGAAAGAAAAAAGATAGAAAAAGAAAAGATAGAAAGACAGAAAGAAAGAAAGAAAGAAAAAAGAAAGAAAGAAAGATAGAAAGAAAGAAATAAAAAAAGAAAGAAAAAATGAAAAAGAAAGTGTTGTGAAAAACACCTAAAAGATACCGACCATATAAATATGGGTTGGTAAAGAAAGAAAGAAAAAAGAAGAAAGAAAGAAAGAACCCATTATGCAGGAACAGAAAATATAAAAACTAACTGTAAATATTGAATATTCTTTGTTTCAATACATTTTGAAAATTCCATATATTTAAGCTTCAAAAGAAAGAAATTTCGAAAGCTTACAGGTAAAAGAATAAATAAATACAAACAAAGATAGAAAAAAGATAGAAAAAGAGAAGAAGGATAGAAAGACAGAAAGAAAGAAAGATTGAAAGAAAAAAGGAAGAAATAAAGAAAGAAAGCCAGAAAGAAAGAAAGCCAGAAAGAAAGAAAGAAAGAAAGAAAGAAAGAAAGAAAGAAAGAAAGAAAAGAAAAGTCGTAGAACACGAATACATGAAAGAAAAGATAGAATAATTGTAGGTAAATAAATGACTAAATCCAAAGAAAGAAAAAAAAAAAAAAAAAAAAAAAAGAAAGAAGTGTAGAAAAATAATGAATACATGAAAGCAAAGATAAAAAGAAAAAAAAGAATAACTAAATCTAAAAAAAAAAGAAAAAAGAAGGAACGAAAGAAAAGTAGGAGAAAACGCATACATGAAAGAAAAATAGAAAAATTATAGATAAAAGAATAAATAAATCGAAAGAAAGAAAAAATTAATGAAAAAAGAAAGAAAAAAGAAAGAAAGAAAAAAGTAGAATAATAATGAATACATGAAAGAAAAAAGAAAAAAAGAATAGGAAAAAGAATAAGTAAATCCAATGAAAGAACGAAAGAAAGAAACAAAGATAGAAAGAAAACTAGCACAAAAGAATACAAGAAAGAAAGATAAAAAAATATAGGAAAAGAATAAATAATTCCTAAGAAAAAAAGAAAAAACAAAGAAAGAAAGAAAACTATAATAATAATAATGTAAACATGAAAGAGTAAAGGAAATAATGAATGAAGAAAAGTAGAATGATGATTAATATATGAAAGAAAAATACAAAAAGAATAGGAAAAAGAATAATTAAATCCAAAGAAATAAAGAAAGAAAGAAAGAAAGAAAGAAAGAAATAAAGCGAAAATGAAATGCTGAAATGAATGAGTGAAATAAGAATGAGTGGTTTAAAAGAAAAAAAAAAAGAAAGAAAGAAAGAAAAAAAGTAGAAGAATAATAAATATCTGAAAGAAAAGATAAAAAGGAATAGGAAACAGAATATCTATATCCAAAGAAAGAATAAAAGAAAGAAAGAAAAAAAAAAAACAAAAAAAGAAAAGTAGCAGAAAATGAATACATGAAAGAAAAGATAAAAAAATATGGGTAAAATAGTAATTAAATCTCAAAAAAGAAAGAAAATAGAAAGAAAGAACAATGTAGAATAAAAATGAAAGAAATGATAGAAGAATAGGAAAAAGAACAACTAAATCCAAAGAAAAAAAGAAAGAAAGAAAGATAAAAAGAAAGAAAGAAAAGTAGCAAAAAATGAATGCATGAAAGAAATATAGAAAATTTATAGTAAAAAATAACTAATTCCAAAGAAAGAAAGAAAAAAAGAAAGAACGGAACAAGTAGAATAATAATGCATACAAGAAAGAAAGAAAAAAGGAAAGAAAGAAAAAAGGAAAGAAAGAAAAGTAGTAGAAAATGCATGGAAGAAAGAAAAATTATAGGTGAAAGAAAAACTAAATTGAAAGAAAGATAGAATAAAAGAAAAAGAAAGAAAGAAAAGAAAAAGTGGAATAATAATTAATACATGAAAGAAAAAATAGAAAAAAGAATAGAAAAAAGATTAACTAAATCCAATGAAAGAAAGAAAAGTACCAGGAAATAAATATATGAAAGGAAAATAGAAAAATTATAGGCAAAAAAATAACTAAATCCAAAGAAAGAAAGAAAGAATAAAAAGAAACAAGGAAAGAAAGACATGTAGCAAAAAATGAATTAATGAAAGAACGAAAGAATAAATAATAAGTCAATAATAAATAAATCCAAAGAAAAATGAAATAAAAAAGATAGAAAGAATGGAGATTAATAATGAATACATGAAAGAAATGATCGAATAAGAATAGAAAAAAGTATAACTAAATAAAGATAGCAAGAAAATTATTAGATGAAAGAAAACAAAGTATACATGAAAGAAACGATAGATAAAAATGGGAAAATATATAACTAAATCCAAAGAAAGAAAGAAAGAAAGAAAGAAAGAAAGAAAGAAAGAGAAAATAGAAAAAAGGTGAATACAAGAAAAAATAGATATAAAAAGAACAGGAAAAAAAAAAACTAAATAAAAAAGAAAAGGAAAAAAGAAAGAAAGAAAGAAAGAAAGAAAGAAAGAAAGAAAGATAGTAACTGAAAAATGATTACTTGAATGTAAAGATAGAAAACTATAAGGAAATATTATCTAAATCCCCCAAAAATAAAATTAACTGAAAAATGTATAAATGAAAGAATGAAAAATAGAAAGAAAGAAATGTCGCAAGATTATATGAACATGATTACATGAAAGGAAAGATAGAAAATGAATAGTGAAAATAAATCCAGAGAAAGTAAAATGGGAAGAAAGAAAGAACGAAAGAAACAACGAACGAAAGAAAGAAAGTAGGAAAAAGGAAGATAGGAGAATTAGAAAGACAGAAAATAAAATAGGAAAGACGAATAACAAAAAATCCAAAGGATAAATAAACTTTTAAAAGAAATAAAGGAGCGAAATAGAAGGAAAATGAATACATGAAAGAGAAGACTGTAAAAATCGGAAAAAAATTGAATGAAAATCAAAGAAAAGAAGAAAGAAAGAAAAAGGAGAAGCGAAAAACAAAAAGGCGGTCGAAGAGATAAAAATATCAAAAGAAACAAACAAAATGTGAACGTAGGAAATAAATATAGAAGAAAATAGGACGCGATAAATTAGAAAGTAAGAAAGAAAAAAGAAGGAAAAAAGAAGAAAAGAATGAGAGAAAGAAGAAAAAAAAGAAAAGTAATAGAAAGAGGAATAAATGAAGGAAAAAATAGAAAAAGAATAGGACAAACTTAACTAAATCCAAGAAAAGAAAAAAAGGATGAAAGAAAGAAGAAAGTGAAAGGAAAAAGGCATGAAAAAAATGAAAGAAAAAGCATGCGAAAATAAGAACGAAATCAAATGAAAGAACGACGATAGGAATGATAAAAAAAATAAAATAATCGAACAAACTAAAAGAACGAGGATTGCTTCAAAGAAAAGACAGAAAATGTATAAGAAAAGGAAATCCAAATAAAAACATGAAAAAAAGAAAGGAAACAGAAATGTGACAGGCGAGATAAAATATTAAAAGAAAATATGAAGTCATTTATGAAAATATGAAAGAAAATAGAAAGTGACAAGAAATGCAATGTTTAATTCGACTGCATGGACAATTTTCTATCCCTGTATAAACAACAAACTCCACTTTTTCATAATCACTTGCCTGTAATTTAAAGAATTTCTATCCATATATATATAAACATTCTGTAAATGGTTTAATAAAACCCCAAACAGTTCCATTAAATATGGGAAACACAACGCAGGCGTCGTGTGGGACACGGCTGAAGTCTCAGATTTCTCCCGGGTAAATCGTGTGGTGCATGGCAAAAGACGAATACAAGTCACAGCTTAGTCAGTCGGGAAACGAACACGATACTGGTGTAGGTCGGGCGATTTGAGCAGGACACACCATATGATCCACAGGAAACCGTGCGATAAATACAGGAAGATTAGAATGCCCATGGTGCATGTCATATCCGAAGAATAAGATGACCAGCTGCTGATTTGAGAAGATACACCGGACGAACGATAAGGCGTTCGGAGGAGTCTGGTGAATTGAAACGTATTGAATGATCATCTCATGGTTTCAACGTGATGCAAGACAGAGGGTAAATAAAAGCAGTTGCTGTCATGCAATGGCGAATGCATAGGCAAAGAATGACACAGATGGAAGTGGCAAAACAAGCGAAATGTATGCGCTATGGGAAACTGAATAAAAAGAATGAAACCTGAAAAATGAGACGAACAATTAGATATGAAAAGAAATAAATAAAAGATAGATAGATAGATAGATAGATAGATAGAAACGATCAGTGTTCGATTTAAACAGACACTATTAGCTAGCTAAACTGATAGTACTAGATAGAATTGAAGAAACTTTATTAGCTAGCTATCCCACTGGACAGGCAGACATACATACAAATAGAGTTGAAAGTCTGTATTAGACAGACAGATAGATAGATAGATAGATAGATAGATAGATAGATAGATAGATAGATAGATAGAATACGATACGATACGATACGATACGATACGATAGAGCAGTATTAGATTATATAGAACAGATAAGACAGTATTAGATAGATAGATAGATAGATAGATAGATAGATAGATACGATACGATTCGATACGATACGATAGGGCAGTATTAGATTATATAGAACAGATAAGACATTATTAGATAGATAGATAGATAGATAGATAGATAATGTTCAGTGTTAGATTTGAACAAACACTGTTAGCTAGTTAATCTGATATTATATATATATGTGTGTGTGTATATAGATAGATAGATACGAGCAAAAATATCAGATTTCAACAAACTATTAATTATAGCTTAAGAGATAGATAGATTTGAAAAGATACCATTAGATACACACAAACACACACACACACACACACACACATATATATATATATATATATAGATAGATAGATAGATAGATAGATAGATAGATAGATGGAACTTATAAAATTTGAATTCTAAAATTGCTTTAAAAAATAATCAATTGACTAAAAATCGTTTGCTTAGGAAACCTGAGAACAAAAACTTAATTCGAAAATAAGAAAAAATCTGGAGTCAAACGTCAATTTCAAAAAAGTCAACAAATATCGGGAGATCAAATTTTTTCCCACCTATGCAAAAAGAGAAAAACGAAACCACTTTTCTTAATACAAAACTGCATTGGTTAAAAAAAAATGACCTTTATTTTTTTCCCTCCATTTTCTGAAAGTACCGTGGTCTCCTATTATAATTTGACTCTCAAATATTCAAACAGAAATAACTGTACTTGATGTTTCGACCCTTTTATATCAGATGCCAGTTTTTTTTACTTTCCCGTATTGTTATATTATTTCTGATCAGTTATCTTGATTCTTCTTATTTTGATTCAATCCGATATTGCCTTTTCCTGCCTCATACGCGTTTTTAGTTTTATTGATCTGTGATTTTCACTAATGAAATTTTAGAGGCTACAATTAGCTTTCATTAAGCCACCCTGTTGATTTGAAATTAATGAAGTTCATCTCTTAAAACAAATTTTTCACTGAAACTGTTATTAATATTTCCAATATGGTTTCCTTACTAATATTTTTCCTCCTAATCTTTCATTTAACTACTGTGGACTGTCGATATTTTGATTATAGCATTTTGATATATTTTGATATATTTTGATTATAGCATTTCGATATTTTGATTATAGCATTACTTTATGTGACCCAAAAAAATGGGAATTTTTGAAGTGCGTATTGCCAGACATGAGCAAGTGACAACACTGCGAGACAGTGACCTTGAGCAAGTAAACATTTTGCCATTTAGAATTCAAGATGAAATTCATAGTATCCCGGCTGAGATGTTGCAGCAGTCAATGAGGAATCTCAACAGCAGATTTCAATAATGCATTCGTACAGGAGGACGCCATCTACAGGACGTAATTTTTAAAAAAATGAAAATTCCATCATTGTTTCTTAAATGACATGTTTTAAGGTTTCAATTACTATGAATAAAATGTTTTGCTTCCATCACTCTTGGTTTTTATTGGATTGTTAAAAAATTACCGTTTTTTTTGGGGTCACCCTGTATATATCTTAAGAGATTCCTGTTTATATATATATATATATATATATATATATATTGGGAGATTTAGTATCCCAGCTGAGATGTTGCAGCAGACAATGAGGAATCTCAACAGCAGATTTCAAGAATGTCAATGTCATGTCAATGAGCATTGACAAGTTCAAATATCTTTTCAAACAATAAAACAACAGAGGATGTAAAAAGTAGTATATTGGAAATTAAAAAAAAATCATCAAAACAGAATAATTAAAAAAAAGTCTTTTAGAGTTCGAAGAAGCGATAATATATTAGCTATTTCTTAAGCAATTAGCCATTTCTTTGATGTCATGATCGCATTGTATCTGGATTGATAATATCTCTAAAGTATTATTAGTTAAAATAATGTATTTATCCTTATATATATATATATATATATATATATATATATATATATATATATATATATATATATATATATATATATTGAAATGGATTATGTTCAAGAATTATTTTAATATACTTCTACATTATAAAAATGGAAATATAACATATATATATGTGTGTGTGTGTGTGTGTATATGTCTCTCTCTCTCTCTCTCTCTCCATATATATATATATATATATATATATATATATATATATATATATATATATATGTATGTATGTATGTATGTATTGTACAGGAGGACGCCATCTACAGGACGTAATTTTTAAAAAATCTAAATTCCATCATTGTTTAAATGGCATGTTTTAAGGTTTCAATTACTATGAATAAAATAGTTTTCTTCCATCACTCTTGGTTTTATTGGATTGTTAAAAAATTTCTCGTTTTTTGGGGTCACCCTGTATTTACATGTAATTCGTTTGAGTATTTGCTGTTGTTGGACGTCTTCAAATGATGTGGTTTCTGCTATTTTGGTGCAGTCCTTTGTTTTATTTTTCTAGTGACAGCTCAAAGAAGGTTGGTACTCGCTCATACCTACAGGCATCATACGTTCGAGGCTACTGTTAACTATTGATTTAAGAAAAGCGTCGTGTACAGCTGACAGTTTAGATATTTCTGAATCCATACGAAAATCTAAATCGACTGGCTGATTTATTTGTTTTTTTTTTTGTTTGTTTGTTTGTTTTTTTTTTTTTTTGCTTTTTTTTTGCTTTTTTTCTACGATTTATCAACACATTGTGCGTTAATTAAAGCTGAAATTTATTTTGGGTATAGTTTTTACTTTTTACGTTTATTCACAATGACTACGTCTCAGAAGTTTATATCTAAATATTCCTGTCTACTTACATATCCGGCTGTACAACGTCTATAGTTAGTAAAATCTTCTAATTGCAGAAAAATATAATTAGTCATGAGTAAACTAATCCGGGTCCTTAAGAAAATCCGATGTTACGTTGAAAATCGTTCTGGCAACTTCACCGACGATAAAAGAACCAATCTGTACTGTCCACTGCCTTTCTCTTGGACGACGTCATCGGCGTTGAGAGAAGAGACGTGCTGCACGGGCAACCACAGGATTTCTCATCAAAACCTGCCCAGGTCCGCGCTCTGGAAAGGACACGCCAGTGTCGGCTTCCTACGTTGGCAGAACACAGGAAGCGACAGTCTACTTATCGGGTGAATTCCAAATGTCCTTCTGTACGGGTAACCAGCCACCGTCAAGAGGGCACGAGATATTCGCTTCAAGTACGTCTACAATAGGGACATGAGCGTGATGAACATGGACATCAAGAGGTGGGATGGGGTCACCAATGATCGCTCACGCTAGAGACACAATTTACACTAGAGGCTGGTGCGAGGAGAGAAGAAACGGAGACTTTCCGTCGGGGAGAAGATTGCTCGAAGGAAATAAAACAGCACGGCAAAATTGGGGGTGGATGTCTTCACATGCATTCATTTTAATCGAGACTGTCACTCACGCATGGGCCTGTACAGCCATAACAGATGCTGCACCAACAACAGCAGCTGTATCGTAACTATCTGTAGATTCATAGTCTCTCAAGACTGATGGATGCAATATATGGACATGTCTTTTCGCATCTGTCTGAAGAAGGTCGGAGTGTACAATGGCCGAAACGTTGTAATAAATAATGGCGACAAAGATGAGGACAATAGTCCGAATAATGTAAATAATGTCTATTAGGATGTTTATTATCTATTTATCACAGACTGTTCATATGTATCACAATCGATTTGTATCAATTTAAATTTTCGTTTTTAATCATTTCACCCCACTCAAGGCAATAAAATCACTAGGATGCAACGGGTTACTAAGTGTTAGAGAATATGACAAAAAGAACTATAATGGAGAGAGGACGATAAAAGAACAGGAATTATGAAGACAGAAGTTAATATTCACATTCCATTTAAATTTTTGAAGATGGAAGCCGCAAAGTAGTTTAAGCAATACAATAGAAAAAAAACTATTGGCATAAAACATTTGGTTACTTATAGCCATTTCAATTGTAACATAATGGGACCTTTCCGCCAATCGAGTATATTGTTTAAATTCCTAACGTCTAGGTACCATAGCGGAAAGTTTATCAGAACAATTACCATGAAAATATTTATAGAAAAGGCAGAGGGAAGATACGTTACGGAGTGGGAAAACGACTGAAGTCGAGATGCCAGGTCAGAACTAATAACATTGCAGATCCTAGTTTGGATTTTTAACAAGAAACTCTAAATACCAGATGTGGTAGCAATATTCAAAGCAAGGACGAGTGGTAAACTTATATATATCTAAGATAGAAAAAAATTCTAACACGACAAATTGAACTAAAATTCTTAAATGCAAACTTAGCAAGTCATTGCATTTCTATCTATCTATCTAAATTATCTATCTATATTTAATATTTGTGTGTTTCAGACCTTCCCTCCCCATCTAATATCAAAAGTTGCATTGCCTTCCTATCTATCATCTATCTATCTATCTATCTATCTATCTATCTATCTCTCAGTCTATTCATATCCTATCTATCTATCTATCTCAGTCTATTCATATCTATCTATCTATCTATCTATCTATCTATATCAGTCTGTTCATATCTATCTATCTATCCCCATCTATCTATCTATCTATCTATCTCAGTCTATTCATGATCTATCTATCTATCTATCTCAGATTCATATCTATCTATCTATCTATCTATCTATCTATCTCATCTATTCATATCTATCTATCTATCTCTCCTATCTATCTATCTATCTATATCAGTCTGTTTCATTGCATCTATCTATCTATCTATCTATCTATCTATCTATTTATCTATCTATCTATATCAGTCTATTCATATCTATCTATCTATCTCAGTCTATTCATATCTATCTATCTATCTATCTATCTATCTATATCAGTCTGTTCATATCTATCTATCTATCTATCATCTATCTATCTCAGTCTATTCATATCTATCTATCTATCTATCTATCTATCTATCTATTCATTCATATCATCTATCTATCTATCTATCTATCTATATCATCTATCTATCTATCTATCTATCTATCAGTTATCTATCTATCTATATCAGTCTATTCACATCTATCTATCTATCTATCTATCTCAGTCTATTCATATCTATCTATCTATCTATCTATATCTATCTATATCAGTCTGTTCCTATCTATCTATCTCATCTATTCATATCTATCTATCTATATCAGTTTATTCTTTATCTATCTATGTTTATTCTTTATCTACCTACTTACTTAAAATCATAATCAATATGCACACTTCTTTATTCTCATCATACCGCCCTATCTATTCCAGAAAACCAATTTCTAAAAGATCAGAACAGATCGAGAGATTATTTTTCGAAACCTAAAAACCAAGGTTAAATGAAAACACTTTATCTCATCGCACAGCTGCACTGCAAAACGAGGGGAAAATATTTTTTTCAAAAACTTAAATGAACGAAAAAAAAAACAAGAAAAAAAAAACTTTAAAAAATTTCAGAAAGCAATTATTTAAAAAAAAAAAAACGTAAATTCCTCTAAGGATAATGCCACAAATTTTCATTTGGCTTTCTTTAAAGAAGAAACTTTTTTTTTCTTAACGATTTTGTTTTGCGTTTGACTAAAAATAAATAAATGTCACCTGTTCACGTCAATGAGCATTGACAAGT